GATGATTGACTATGTGCGTGAACCTTTTACGCACATCTGCAATTGTTTCTCCTTGCTGCATTTTAAACAACTCATAATCCCCGATTAACTCATGCTTTCTTGCCCTTTTCACATCGAGATGTTCCTTCATGTGTAACCTCTAAAATTTCCCACATCTCTTTGGCGGAGGCACACTGAGACACCCTGAAAAACTCATCAAGATTTAAAGCAGAGGTAATAATATTTTTTGCAGTATAATCATATTGGACTCTCCTATTTTCTACATCAGTTAATTCAGCCCAATCTTTTTCGACTACTTTACCATCTACGAGTATGAGTTGGTTTGTAAGGACCATTAATAATTGTTTCCCAAATGCCTCTATCAAGAGATTCAATAAAGATTTTCATTCTAACCTTCAGAAAGAATAATTCACACCGAGAAAAAGTGGAGGCCTGTTTATGGAGGCTCCTTCTAAAAAATTCATCTTTCCCTCAGCCATTGGACCGATTCCTTGAGTAACTTACAAGAACCAGCTCTCGGTACCAATTGAAAGAATTAATGGTTGAGTTCAAGAGGGGGGTGAATTGAACTTTAAAACTTTTTCGCAAAACTTACTTTCTTTTGGAAGAATGAGTTATCTTTATTTAATCTTTGCAAAAGTAATTTGGTTTAAACACGACAGAATTAAAGACAGAAATTAAAAGAGATGAAAGAAGGATATTAACACACAAATTTATACTTGGTTCACTCTAATCCAGAGCTACATCCAGTTCTTGACAATCCAGTCAAGTTCCACTAATACCAAGTGAAAATTACAACCGAGTAGATACTCACCAATCTACCCCAAGAACTATCTTGCAAAACCCACAAGACGAGAATCTTGAAAACCACCCAAGTAACCAAATCCAGATTCTCGTACCAAGTGCGATTACAATCCAACCTGCACAATCAACTTTTACAAAAGAATATGGAAAGAAAAAACCTGGACTTGAAGTTTCTAATTATCCGAACCAATTCTATCAGCACTTTCTCTCTTTGAATGACCACAATTCGATCACAGACACCTTATGATATGAAAAAGATTATTGAATGCAGAGAAAGTCACGTATGAAAGATTCACAGATTGATTTCACAAGTTTTCTCAAGTAGTGTATTGTATTGTGTGTTTCAAAAGATAGATCAAATCTGTATATATAGAGTAAATCATAGAATCAGACTGATTCAACTGTCAAAAACTGTTTCAGAGAGTCAAAAGATCGATTAGATTGAAGTAAAACAGTTTAGAAGAGACTCTGATCGATTACTGAAGTATAATCGATCAGACCGAGTTATGATCGATTAGAATGAAACTATGATCGATCAGACCGAGTTATGATCGATTAGAATGAAACTATGATCGATCAGAATATTATTTTAATCGATTAAAATATCGATTCAATCGATTGATTTCATTTAAAGCTCCATTCAATCGATTAAAACATCGATTCAATCGATTGATTTCATTTAAAGCTCCATTCAATCGATTGATTCGAGTTTTTAATGGATTGAAACAACTTAATGAAAATGACAGACTCTTCGTTTTAATCGATTGAAAGTCATTTCAACATATTGAAATCCTGCAAACACTTAGTTAAAAAAAAGAACCTCTCTGTTTTAATAGATTGAAAAATATTTCAACAGATTGATTTTCTAAAAACTCTTAGATCGAAAAAGGTCTTTTCGTTTCAACAGATTTAAAAATATTTCAACAGATTGAAAAAGCGAAACTTGATATTGAAAATTCATTGAGTTATTTTAACTTGTTGATTCAGCGAATCAATCAATTGAAAATACGATTATGTATGATCACTTATTCTTTTAAGTAATTTTAACAGATTGAAAATCCTTTTCAACAGATTGAAAAACTTAGTTTGTTCTTTTAATACTTAGATGTTAGTTTTTCATGCAGAAAAATGATTTTCAATGGGATGCAACATTATAAGGTGCTTATCACAAAATATATTGTCCTATCAAGATATTAAGTGCTTAAACTAAAAAACCTAATCATCTACACACCCACAACCTAAGCTATATCTATGTCTTCATCAAAACCACCAAGTGCTTGTCTTTATCAAATCCACCAAGTGCTTCAAATTATATAAATGTAAAGGTTTATATTTGATAATTTTGGGTGAATTATAATGTAGGATACGAGAGAAAAAGATGAACAAATTTAGAATAAATAAGAAAAGAGAAATTGATAGGTATGATTAAAAGGGTTCTTTTCGAGTAAGAGCAAACTCTACTAAGAAAGAAAGAATTTCTGGATTTAATTCCCCTCTTTTTTTGCATTCACTGTTTCGATACAAAAAACATGCTAAAGTTGTTACTGAAATCAAAACAGAATGGGAAATAAACAAAAACAATTTAGAGCTGAAATCCTCTAAGTCACGTCGGTTTCTTTCTTTCACGTTTCGGCCTATCCATATGGGTTTCCTTCTGATAATTGGGCTCACACTCATTACTTGTCTCTTGGCCCAACTTTGGAGTTGTATCAATACCCTGCCCTTCAAGAGTGACCTTGTCCTCGAGGTCCAAATCTGGATAAGTCTCTTTGACAACTTTTGTTGATTCCGAGCTCGCGTCAGTCTCTGGAGTACCATCCCAATGTACAAGCACTTGGGAGTGTGGACCATCTTCTCCTTTAATAGTGCGAAACCCCAAAATCTGTCGGGGAGTGAGAAGAACAGGTTGAGATGTCATTGTTGCATGCAGGGGAGATACTTTGAATGGTGGTTGACCATGACAAAGGTGAAGCTTGTAGACGTGAAATACATGATGGACTGCTTGTAGGCGACTTTTCCCACAGACCGCAAGATAAAAAAAGGACCATAGAAACAAGGAGCAAGCTTCGGATAAGACCTTCTTTGAATGGAGGTTTGTCGATAGGGTTTCAAACGTACATACGCCTAGTCCCCTGCATGAAATATGCAATCTTGTTGGTGATTATTGGCCAATGACCTCATTCTCTGTTGAGCCTTGGCGAGGTTTACGCACACTATTTGCATGGTGATCTTTCTTTGCATCAAGAGTTCCTCAACGCCAGCTATTGTTGCAGAACCAACAAGGTATGTGTGCATGCTCGGAGGTTTATGCCCATACAAAACTTCAAATGGGGTAAATTTGAGGGAAGAATGAAAAGTTATGTTATACCAATATTCTGCCGAGGCTAAGCAACGAGGCCAGTGGAGTGGCTCATCACCCACCACACAGCGCAGGTAGGATTCCAAGGTGCGGTTAACGACTTCTGATTGCCCATCCGTCTCTGGGTGATAAAAGCTACTGTAATTTAATTTTGTACCACTGAGTTTGAAAATCTCTTGCCAGAATTTGCTTACAAAAAAGCGGTCTCGGTCACTGACAATGGTGCGGGGCATGCCATGCAATCGATGCATTTCTTGTAAAAATATGGGAGCAATTGTGGCTGCAGTGAATCGGGGGAGGACCCATGAAGTGGGCATCCTTCATGAGGCGATCGACTACCACCCAAATGACTGATTTGCCACCAGAAAAGGGCAGGTGGGTGATGAAAGTCGATGGATATGTCCTCCCACACCCGCGGATCTTATTGGGAGCAAGGGTTCTAACCATCTCTATCTTCTACATAAATTTAATATATTTACTTTTATATTGATCTTGAAATACTCTCTTCAATTTTGTAACTATTGTATAATTTATAATTTTATTTATTTTAAAATTAATAATCATTTAATATATTTAAATATATATTTATAATTTTATTTTTTCATCATTTTATCTTAATTTTTTTATATTTATTAATAATATATTATCTATCCAAAATCAATGTTCAAGTTACACTTTAAAAGAGGGCGAATGGTCATTGTGTACGGAGTATTTATGTTGCTGGCAAGTGTGGCAACATTGAATAAAGGCCTGAACATCATCTTTCAAATGGGGCCATGCAAAAGAAGTTGCCATCCTAGCTAAAGTGCCCCGAATTTCCGAGTGGCCTCATATGGGCTAAGTTATGGTTTGAAATACATAATAATATAATACAATAAATATAATATATTTAAAAGATTGTGTATCTGGAATGGTTGAAAGATTCATAGAATATGCATATAAGAGAATGTTTAAAATATATAATAATATAAGATATAATAAATATAATATATTCAAAAGATTGTGTATCTGGAATTCACCACAAGAAAATTTATAATTAGCTAGTAAAATTTGCTACAAAATTTATTTTTAACTAATTTATAACTAATTAGCTATGAAATAGTAAAAGAATAAAGTTGTAGTTAATTTGTAGTAAAATAGCTAGAAGACTAATATTTTTGTAGTTATTCCCTCACTTAACAGAAAATAATTTAGTTAGGAAATTTCTTATCACTAATCCCTCGCTATAAATGTTAGTTATGTTACTTTTTGAAACTATTTCCTAACTAAATTATGTAATATACAATTATAGCTGTAGCAAATTTATAACAAATATCAAATTAAAAAGAATATTAAGTTATTGGAAATCATTCTTTCACATCTTCAATTCAAATTTACTAGATATTTTTTTATATATCTCTTACAAATAAGTCAATTTTCTACTAAAAATTATTTATTCTCTGTATTGTTTTTTTTTTTTGCAAAAAATTATTTAAAAAATACTTGTAAATTTCTATGAAAATATATAATTATAAAAAATAATTTTGATCTTTTTAAAAAATATCAACAAAAATTAATTGTAAGTTTTTCTTAAAAAAATTATATTTAAATTAGTTAAAAAATTTATAAATAATATTTTTTTATAAATTTTATCTAAACCTTTAGTACTTATCTGTGTTTTATATTAAAACACTCTCTTTCGCTCTTGGTGTAAAGTCAAAACTATATACACTCGGCGCACGGGCTAACGCTCACATTTTCCATGGCGGTCACTGGCAACAACAATGACAATGGCATCATCTATATTCATGGTGGTGACCTTGATTTGAAAATCATCAAGGCGCGGTAGTTGCCGAACATGGACATCTTATCGGAGCATCTCCGTCGCTGCGTAACATGTGACACTATCAAGTCCACTCTGACGACGTCTTCGCCCACAGTGGAAGCCAGCGGACGCGCCACAATAGGAGGATCATCACGAGCGGCCCGTACGTGACAGTTTCAGTGTCGTAGGCGACGGTGGCACACACGTGAGTGCTGAAGAACTCCCAGGACCCTGAGTGGAAAGAGCAGTTCCACATCCCACTCGCGCATCCAGTTGTGGATTTGGAGTTTCGAGTGAAGGACGACGACGTTTTTGGCGCGCAGACGATGGGAATTGTGAAGATTCTAGCGTGGCTGATTGCTACTGGCCAGTTAATTTTCGACTGGTTTCCTATCATTGGACCGTTCGGGAAGCCGGCGAAGCGAGACACAGCGTTGCACGTGCAGATGAAATTCACGCTGGTGGAGGAGAATTTGCTTTACCAGCGAGGCATTGCAGCGGATCCGGAGCACTGCGAAGTGAGGAACACGTATTTTCCAGTGAGAAAGGGGAGTTCAGTAAGGTTGTATCAAGATGCGCAATGTCCCGAATCTGGCAAAGGGAAGTTACCTGAGGTAAAACTTGAGAATGGAGAGGTTTATAGGCACGGGAAGTGTTGGGAGGGTATTTGTTATGCCATATTTGAGGCTCATCACATGGTGTATTTGGTGGGTTGGTCGATTTCCCACAAGGTGAAGCTTGTTAGAGAGCCTACTAGGACGTTCCCACGAGGTGATTTGACGCTTGGAGAGTTGCTGAAGTGTAAGTCTGAAGAAGGGGTGAGAGTGTTGTTGCTAGTTTGGGATGATAAAACTTCGCACGATAAGATTTTACTCAAGACGGTTAGGATTTTACGTTCTTTCCTTTTTGTAATCGGTCGGAATGCTTGATTGGTTATTGATTGCTCTGATACGTTTTGTGCTAAGTGGTGTGATGCGAATTTGCCAGGATTAGCTACGGATTAGCGAGAGAAAAATTGTCAGAGATTAACTACGAATTAACGAGAGTAAAATTGCGAGAGATTAGCTACGGATTAGCGAGAAAAAAATTGCAAAAGATTAACTACGAATTAGTGAGAGTGAAATTGCGAGGGATTAGCTACGGATTAGCAAGAGCAAAATTGCGAGAGATTAGCTACGGATTAACTACAAAATTTGGGAGATCAAATTAGCTAGAGCTAAACAAAATTTCATCATTTAAATTAGCGAGGGATTTAGCGATAGTTTAGCGACAAAATTTGCTACAAGTTTGAGAGAGAATACATCTGTATCTAATTAGCTACTTGGATTTAGCTACGGACTATTCCATAGCTATTCCGTAGCTAATCTGTAACAAAACATACCAGCGAGAGATTAGTTATAAAATAGCCATGGAATGTGTCATAGCTAATAGGTAAAATTCTTGTAGTGATTGTTGAAGGATCCATAGAATGCGTATGAGAGAATATTGCTCTCTTTCTGATAGGTTACCTTGAACGTAGTGTATAAAGTAGTTTTTATTGTCACACGTAAAACTGACTAATGGGGTATCAGTTTTTATCCACCTATCATTAGAGACCAGGGATCTCTCAATAAGTAACTGATTCTGAACAATCCAACTCATCACGGACCGTTCATCGAAACCCAAATTAAATTATTATTTATAAAAAATGATGATGTGTAATATAGTTGATAATTACAAATAATTAATTTATTGATTAATGTTAATCCATAACAAATAGAGAATAATAATTTATATATATATATATATATATATATATAATAAATTATATAAATACAACATTCTCCCACTTGGATAACATTGATAAATAAATTAATCATATCAATTACAAAACAAACACAAATATCAATTAAGAAATATAAACATGAATCACAAAGATAATATCCAGATAGGGATGATTACCATATGCTTAGATTTCATAAATAATAGATAATAAATAAAATAAAACCAAACATAATAAATATGTGATCCCAAAATGGTTCATACATTTTATGTATCAAAGAGATGTAATAAAAATGACGTCATTGATAAATTTATATCTCGTAAAAAACCATAATAATATAAATTATGAATCTCAAACTCCCACTAACCCAGTACATCAAAAGACTTAACTACACCCATATGAGTTACATGATTTTGAAAAACTGCAATAGCTAAGCCTTTAGTTAGTGGATCTGCTAACATATTTTCTGTAGTAGTATGCTCAATCCGAGTTTGAAAATAAAAAACTTTCTCTCTAACAAATAGAAATTTTATATCAAAATGCTTTGAGCGAGTAGAACTTCTGTTGTTTTGAGAAAAATGTACGGCAGTAGTGTTGTCACAATATATCACAAGTGGCCTAGAAATACACTAGTACAAAACAGGCTTTTAACATCGGTTCCCAGGGACTTTTAACATCGGTTCTAGAACCGATGTAGATACAGCCGATGTAGAAAGTCACACTTTCTACATCGGTTCCTAAGGAACCGATGTAGAAAGTGTGACTTTCCACTTTCTACATCGGTTCCTAAGGAACCGATGTAGAAAGTCTAATATTTTTATATATTTTATTTATTTTATTTATTTTATTTATTCATAACCCCTCTCCAATTACCCTATCTATTGATCTAGAGGTCTCCTCTCCCTTTTATATTATATTTTTATTATTTATTATATTATTTATATTTTTTAGAAATTTGATTTATTATCAGATTAAGAGAATTGTCATCGGCAAGATTCGAACCCGAGTACCTTAGAGTCTGGAGGTCGATACTCCAACCACTAAGCTATTAGGATTTTCTCGATAATAACTTATACATAAATTATATTTATATACAAATAAAAATGTATATCCATGTAAATATATAAATATAAAATATATAAATATAAAATATATAAATACAAATACAAATATATTTATATATTTTATATGTTGGATGTGAGGAATTAAAATATATTTTAGTGACCGATTCAATGACCGATTCATTGACCGAATTAGTGACCGAATCGGTGACCGATTCAGTGACCGAATCGAGTGACCAACTGGAATCGATCACTATTTCCTTGGTCACCGATATTAGTGACCGATTCAATGACCGATATATGAAGGGATAATATTGATATATTAATATATGAGGGGATAATATTGATATATTGATATATTTGTATATATATATATATATATATTTATATATATTTATATATTGATATATTTATATATTAATATATTTATATATTTATATTTTTATATGTGCAGGGGCGTTTCGCTCGAGCGATAGGATTGTCGCTTAAGCGAAACACAACCCGAGAATGCCAATTTTGTGCAGGGGCGTTTCGCTCGAGCGAGAAGACTGTCGCTCAAGCGAAAGACATTTTAGATAGCGGTTACACAGAACCGCTTTTAAAAGCTCACTTAGATAGCGGTTAACCTAGAACCGCTATGATATCGTTCAATTATGATCGATCAAAATGCAATTATGACCGATCATAATTTTGTGCAGGGGCGTTTCGCTCGAGCGAGACGATTGTCGCTCAAGCGAAACACAACCCGAGAATGCCAATTTTGTGCAGGGGCGTTTCGCTCGAGCGATAAGACTGTCGCTCAAGCGAAAGACATTTTAGATAGCGGTTACACAGAACCGCTTTTAAAAACTCACTTAGATAGCGGTTAACCTGGAACCGCTATGATATCGTTCAATTATGATCGATCAGAATGCAATTATGACCGATCATATTTTGTGCAGGGGCGTTTCGCTCGAGCGAGGGATTTTCGCTCAAGCGAAACATTTATTAATTCTATAATTTTATATAATTATTATTATTATAAATTTAATTTTCTAATAACTAATAATATTAACACATTTATTAAATTAAATTTCTTTATTTTAATTAATTATTTTAAATTTTTAAAAAATATTTTTCAAATAAATATGATAAAACTTAAAATTAATTTCTAACTAATAATATGGTTAATAGTATATTATATTATTATGTTTAATTAAATTTTAAAATAAATTTACTTAATCTTTACAATTTATATAAAAATAACTAATATAAACTTAAAATATATATCTAACTATTAAATTATCCAAAATATTAATATAAATTTAAAATATCAATTCAGTAATTAAAATAATTTTAATTTTTTTATAAATATATTAAACTGAATTTTTCGGTCACTAATTTCGGTCACTATTAACCATTTTTCTAGTAGTGTATAAAGATTATATGCTATATTATTATAAATAAATTATAAAGATTATATTCTATCATTAAATTACAAATTCATATAAAGAGACTCGCTCACAAATTTGACATCAAATTTTGAAAACCCACTTGACACACACTTTCACTCTCGAGCGCGCTCTCACATCCAACATATAAATATATAAATATATTTGTATTTGTATTTATATATTTTATATTTATATATTTACATGGATATACATTTATCGGAAAATCCTAGTAGCTTAGTGGTTGGAGTATCAGCCTTCGACTCTAAGGTACTGGGTTCGAATCTTGCCGATGGACGGTTCTCTTAATTTTATAAAATGACTTTCTACATCGGTTCATCCGAGAACCGATGTAGAAAGTATTTTCTACATCGGTTCATCTGGGAACCGATGTAGAAAGTGTTTTCTACATCGGTTCATCTGGGAACCGATGTAGAAAGTCTTGAATCCACTTTCTACATCGGTTCTTAAAGAACCGATGTGGAAAGACCGATGTTAAAAGTGATTTCTGTACTAGTGATACTTTCAACAATTTGAAAGCCAGAAACCAATTTTTTAAGCCACACAACTTGACAAGTAGCTTCATAACAAGCAACATATTCTGCCTCCATAGTAGAAGTAGCTGTAAGAGTTTGTTTAACACTCTTCCAAGAAATAACTCCTTCTGCCAACTTAAATATAAAACCAGAAGTAGATTTTCGATCGTCAGGGCAACCAGCAAAATCAGAATCAGAATAACCAATGACTTGAAGTTGATCAGACTTCTTATAGTTCAACATGTAATCCTTAGTTCCCTGCAAATATCTAAAGACCTTTTTAACGGCTTTCCAATGACCCAAACCCGGGTTGCTCAAGTATCTTCCTAAAGCATTAACAGCAAAAGCAATATCGGGATGAGTACAAACTTGAGCATACATTAAACTACCAACAGCGGAAGCATATGAAATTTTTACCATTTCAATTCTATCATTATCATTTTTAGGACATTGAGATTTAGAGAGTTTATCACCTTTTTGAACAGGTGCTACACATGAGGAGCAAGAATGCATGTTAAACCGTTTAAGGACTTTATCAATATATCCTCTTTGAGACAATCCAAGAATGCCACGTGACCTGTCACGAAAAATTTGAATGCCCTGAACAACAGAGGCATCACCAAGGTCCTTCATATCAAAATGACTATTCAACATAGACTTTGTCTTAGCCAAAAGTTCAACACTGCTACTCATAAGAAGAATATCATCAACATATAAGACAAGAATGATGAAATGACTCTCATTTTTCTTCAAGTAAATGCATTGATCTAAGGCGTTTTCCTTAAAGCCAAAAGAAGTGACCACCTGGTCAAATTTCAAATACCATTGTCTAGAAGCTTGTTTCAACCCATAAATAGACTTTTTTAACTTGCAAACCAAATGCTCATTGTTTTTTTTTAGCAAAACCATCAGGTTGAATCATATACACTTCCTCAAATAAATCTCCATTAAGAAAAGTTGTTTTGACATCCATTTGATGAAGCTCCAAATCAAAATGAGCTACTAAATCCATAACCACACGAAAAGCATCCTTAGTAAAGACCGGTGAGAAAGTCTCTTTATAATCAATGTCATCCCTCTGACTATAGCCTTTTGCTACAAGTCTGGCTTTATATCTCTCAACTTTTCCATCTGGATTAC